TGCAAGAAGCTGCATATTCCATCTATAGACGGATCTGTTGATGACTGTGGTAACGCTCACTGCCTGCTGCACAGCAGCTCACAGGCTGGTTGGCTGTGCCTGTGTCTGCAGCTGGACGGACTGGGGCTCAGAGCCCCGACTGCTGCACCCTTCACCTCCACGCATGTACATTAAAAACAGAGTCACAGTGGCAAATGTGGTTGCATTCACTGGAAATGCACGGAGCAAAGTGGACGTGAGCCCACGTGTGAACGCCCTCCACCCCTCCTTTTGTAAGCTCTGTCTGACACAGTCCATAATGCCGTTATACTGGCTGACACCGCCAACCCCGTCCGCCTGCAGACGCGACTTGATCACATCCACAGGATAGGTGGAGAGCCAAGAGGCAATACCTGACATTCCACCGGCAAACAGCAGCTTAGGGATCATGTATGGGTCGTCTGGCTCACAGCCCAGCGAACGTGTCAGCACATCATATGTGAGAAAGTATTTACAGACACACTTGTCCAAAGAACATGTTTGTCTGATTGTGGAGAAGGACCAAACCAAGCCAGGTCAGTCAGTGCACTGCAAAATATGGATCTTGCACTGTATATCTGGGGCTTTTGTACAAGGTTTATAATTAGTAATTCCTGTAAAATGTGGTGACTTTAATGCAGTAGTTTTGGGAACACATCATTTTGAGAAATGCACTTTCTTACTTGGAGCTCCATTGGGCAGCAAATGACACACTGGATGGCTCCAGCAGAGGCCCCAGCCAGGAACTGGTTGAGCGGTGTATCATGACCAAGTTGGCGCATGGCGTTGCCCTGCACACCAAAAACTATGGCATTGATGAATGTCAGCCCCATCATTGGTGAACCAAGGCCTTTGTACAGCCCAAGAGCCTACAGACACAAGGATTTGTTATTAGGACCATGAAGAAAACACCTCTCCAGCACTCTGTAGGTATCAAAGGTAATGTTTTTCATCATTTGTGCAAACTAGGGATGTAACAATATCAGTCATTAGGCTCTGATAGTGGAAACGCAGCATTAGTGGCATACGAGTAACTGTAGAGAACCAGTTACATACAGTGATTCCTTGCAGCACCAACAATTAAAATGATTTTTATTCAAGTAAAAATTCATACTAAGCAGAGAAGCCACTAAATATTTGTTAATATTGTACTGTAGGAGGAATAAAACCCAGTCCAAAAATTCCCCGAGAGCAAAGGCAGCTCAAATGGCACGAGGCCCAAAGCTTTATTTAGTCCATGGTGGAAGAAGGTCCTCACTGGCTGTGGCCAGCAGATACACCACGTCCCCCTTTCAGCCCATGTTAGGGACCCACTGGCTGATCTTGGTCTGATGTGATGGTAACTGGATACTTTTATTTTGTGCACACTGACTAAAACGTTAAGAGGCATTCACAACAAGGATTAACTTACCGACTCCTGACGTATGATTGACTGAAAGCAGTGAAATGTCCCACGGTACAAAGGTTTGTCCGCATTTTGAACTTGAAGCCGCACCTGTGGGTGACAGCCCTCATGTATCAGAAGGAGGTCCATAACAACTGCACACCACATATTGTAATGCAGGTTTAAATAGAAACAAGCAGACAACAGTTTTTGAAAAGTTTTTTTCTGGGTAAAAAAAAAAAAAAAAAGAAGAAGAAGCTTAAGGGGTGCAACATGTGGGAGGAAAAAAACAAACCAAAACATTAACCGAGAATGAAGCTGCATAAAAACAAACTGCCTTCTGTGCTTTCTATTTCTACATCTCAAGACAAAACATTGGGTGAGGGGGAAAAAAAAAAGACCTTGACCGTACTTACTAGGTCACATTTCCGTGGAGAGGTTGTTTATTTCTCTCTCTCATCTACAACACAGTGACACTGTTGCTGTTAAAGACAGCCTCTCCCAGCCCCCTAGCAGATGCCAGCTCAGGGAGAAATGACACTGAAAGCAAGGTGTTAGGATCGCTCGACACTTTGGATGCTGCAAATTCACACATTTCTATGCTATATTTACTTATATAACTTCCTTGCTTTTTTTTTTTTAACTAAGTGATTATTTAGGACACTAAACTGGTTGAAATATTTAAGCAAGTTAACGGCCTCAAATGAAAACTTTGAATATCCCAGTTAATTCACAGAAATCCTATAATGCGAGTCAGAAAACCACATACGATGTGAAAGTTGTGAAGAAAACCTTCCTCTATTATTATTCTTCCATTAAGTTTTTACTTAACAAGTAGCTTCAAGCCAAAGAAGTTTAGACACAGACAATTTTAATAACCTGTGATATTTGTGGGACTTTGCAATTAGTTGTAGGATTTGGAAGTATCACAGTTATTCAGCAAAATGCCACAAACCGAAGTCAAATTTCCTAAAATAGCTTCAGATAAATGACAATTTCGCTGAGATCTATAAGGAAGTGAGTGCACCCAATTGTCCTAAATGTAATGATAAATAAAACTTAGCATGTTTGTAACTATAAGCTGCTGTTTGTTGGTGGACAAGTCAGTCCTCATGCTCTGTTACCTCATTCCTATTGTAGGCTGACTGCGTAACCCTGGATAATCTGGATTCAAATTCAGACTGCCAGCTACTGGATCACGTCGGTGCTTAACACATGAATAAACAGAGAAGAGGATGGAAGGGACACCCACCTTAACAGTATCAAATGGATGTCCAACTAAAACACCAGCAGCACCTGAAAAGTAACAGAAAGGATTTATAATTATATTAAGAATATAACTGGCCTGATAAGAGCACTACAGCAACGCACGCCTTATGTTAGAGTATATGATATGAATACAATCTATCTTAATTATCAATCCATTGCAGTGACACACTGGAAATGCTGTTTTTATTTCAGTAAGGAAAATGTCTTAAGACCAAGGGGCTCATCTCACAAGAGCAGAGGAATCAGCTGGTCCACTGCACTGGACCCAGTAATGAGAGCTGACTGTAAATATGATGGGCAGGCTAAGAAGTAATGTGCTAGTCTGTAGTTTATAATTATAAATTAAACTATATCCTGTTATTACTTTGGTGTAACCGGCTTGCTATGGGAAAGGCTTTGACACGTGTGGATCAGTGAATGAATAACAGAATAGTCGATGGCAGTGGTGGAGTGGATCCAGACAAGTTTTAGAGGAATATATTTGCCTCAAATCAGGCAATGCATATAATAAATTACCCCAATTATCAGTCTTATGCATTGAATCCCAAACCCGAGGTCCAGAGAGTCCTCGTCATGTTAATGAAGATCTGAAAAGTCAACTTAGTTTTCTCGCCTGACATTAAATCAGCAAAACTGTCTTGACCAAATTATCCCATCAGGCATCTTGCGCTCTTTAGTGAGATTATCCCGGGTCCTTGATGTGCTGAGGTTTTGGAAGACCTAGATTTGAGCAAAGAGAAAGCAGCTGACAAGATTCCCAAGGCTTTGCTGGAGAGGGGCCTTCATGCAAACAGGAGATCTTGGACTCTGTTAACCTTTGGTGGACCTTTTCTCTACAGGACTACTGCCTAATATGTACCTGCTGGATAATAATCATAAAAATATGCAATATCCTGATATTTTAATACTGTTATGAGAACTTTTTTTCCATTTTGGGGTTTGGACGAGTGGAAGTTGAAATCTACCGAGACTAGGTATTTAATGAATACACATACAAAAAAAAAAAAAAAGAGGTTTTTAATGAATAAAAATAAAAAAAAAAAAAAAAAAAATCCAACACCCCTTGTGAGCTACAGGCATGAAACGTAAAGTTCATGTTACACCCGGAACTTCCACAAACCTTAAAAAAAAGTCCTACAACGTGGATTTCGAGTTTGTAGTCTGCCATTCTTCCAGTTGTGTTTATAGTTTTTTCATGACATCTGGCTACAAATCACTATCTCTATAATTCCGGGCGGGTCCACGTTGCTCGACGATGGAAAAAAACCGAATGGTTGCTAATGCTACAGCTAGTCGTTAGCCTCTACTTGCTAATAACCTGGACAACACGGCTAGCTAACACCAGCACTGACCAACTACTTACCCCCTACGCAGCCTGCAACGAAGTCCAGTGCCATTCCCTCAAAAAAATCTGTCAAACTAATTCGATATTTGAAAAAGGTTGTGCACAATTTCTGCAGGACCCTTTTGGGGGGCTTCAGATGCTGCAGATACTAAGCAAAGGAGTGATATCAATCTCCTCCAGCTAATAAAAAATCACACCAACTGGATACGTGGGAGCCGGATGAACAGATTTATTTTTGCTGCTGTGTCCTCACTCTCACCCCCAAACCTTTCTATTTCTATTTCTATACCCCTGAAGGAGGCGGGGTTGCCCGTAAAAAAGAAGAAACGTGTTTGCCCTTATTAAGGCAGCCCAATGGGATTGCCTGGATGTAGACAACTCCCCTAGCGGCTGCCGTCCGCCCCTCACGCCCACTGGCTGCTGCCCACTCTGGGGCCGTAGAGGAGGGTCGCTGCTGATCCTCCCACCGTCTACATCAACACTCTTTTTACATTAGTGATCGTCATCAGCCTGTTTTCAGTATCCAGCTGCGATCCTAGAGCAGAGTGATTGGGTAGCCATGTGCGTGCAGTATGTCGTGCCAAGCTCAGACCCCCAAGATGCTCGGGGAGGGGGGGCTGTGCCTCTGTCAGAAGTGAGATTATTAGTTTGAAAGTCATAGAGCTCAGTTGAACGTCTCAAAACAACCATAAGGACATGAACAATAATAATAAACAATTACCAATACAATTACTTAAAAAAAAAACAATACTAAGAATGAATAAATAATTTAAGAGCTCTAAGAGATGGAGCCTTGTTTGCCATCTTTGTTGCTACCTATGGGGTCATCTGTGAACCAGCCCCAGGACAGAACCAACCAGGTAAATCCAAACACCGCTTACCATAACTGGGAACCGAGAATATATTTAATTAGTTAACATTTGTAGTCTTATAGTGTAATTTGACTCATATCATATGAATGTTTTCAGAGTGTAAAGGGTTACTTCTGGCAGGAGGACTGTCAGGGATCTGTGACTGGAGTACTGGCATGCCGATGCACCTGATCAAAGCTCGTCTCCAAAGGGACTGGATTGGACAGCGGAGGTACTGAGATCATTTATTTTTTGCTGACACCACTGGGCTAAATGTCATGATTTTGACTGTGGTGACACAGATAAGATACTTTTCTTGAGGTTCCCTTACTCAGGCAGTAGATGAAGACATCATTTCTCACAGGGTCATCTGGACTCATAAACATTGCTATATTTAAACCCCTCATTTTATTTATATGTACCATTTCACAACCTTCTGCATGTTACTGACATTTATAGTACATTAACACTGCTGTGCACGTGCACACCAAGAACACATCAGTTTTATTTTCAACTACAAATACATGTAAATTACATTCAGATCAAAGATTTTGCCTATATAATGTGTTAAATGTTTTACAATAGGTCTTTTTTTTTACAACAAACATTGTTTTGTCATACTGTAGCAGTGCTGTTAGTAGTAACATTAATGATGACTTAATTCCATTCTAGTGTCCCAGTAGTGACAATGTAGTTGTCAGGACCAGGACCCTGTAAGTAAAGCAGTTAAATGGAATTTAGCTAGAACAGGTTTTTTTTATTATTAATTACACTTTGCTTTTTCTGTTGTTACATCAAAATGTTTTACATGGAAAAAGCACATGTTGTTACTGTATAGCTAGATGTCAGTCCTGATATGTCTGATGTGTAGCATATTGTGGGAATAACTGGTACTTCTGCTGTGTAACCACAGAAATATTTTTAAAGATATGTCCCTGCACATTTACTTTAAGGAATATATATCATAATTGTTAATCTAAAAAAAAATTGAACAAAACATCTTCATGCTTAGAAAAATTATTACCTTGATTCAAATCCAGTTTCCTTATGAAAGATACAGATAGCCGACTTATTGGTATGTGCTCAAACTGTTAAAAGATGAGCATCCCATAATATATTTCAGATCATCACACTACACCTGTCTTTAATAGCATATAGAACACATTTGCCTTTGTAAATCACAAAGTGAGTTACTGTCTAAAAGGCTATTTTTCTAAGTAAAATAAGACGTGCAAAGTGGGTGTGTAACTGTATTTTTGTTGATCATATACAGTAGATTTGTATTCCACTTTAATCGTTATTTCTCCCGAATTTATTTTCAGATTAAGGTGTCAGGCTTGTGACTTTACAGCAGCGCTGCAAACACAAACACTTCATGAAGATAAACATGTATGTTTGATACAGTGTGATGCTAACAAGCAGTGTGAAGGTCCAGGCCATGCTTAGATTGACTCAGAGAAGCATGTCATCACTCCAGTAATTTACATTTACATTTTTCTTCAGTTCTGATGCAAATCATATGTGAAAATGTCTAGTTAGAAAAGACATATTTTAAATGGGAACAGCTGGAATCATTATTTGTTTTTGTACTGAAATTAACTATGTAATGACCCCTGATGTCTGGGATACTCAAGGAGGCTAGTAGTTGAAATTTAAAGGTCTTGGTGTCATAAACTGCTTGACTGTCTCATCTGTTACTTTTTTGCGTCTCTCTTGATGTAGGGCGATCATTGGCTGCAGAGTTTCAATCAGAATCTTCTTCAGTTCTCCGGTTAGGAGAGCTCCACTTGAGTAGTCCTGTAGAGAGAGGAGACAGAATGAGTGGGAGTGGATAAGAGGGGTATGGAGAAACAAGATTTCATGGTAAAGAGTTCAGGGAGGTCATGTTGTAAAGAGAATCAGAATAAACTGAGAAAAAGCTGTATCATTATTAGTAACAGAAATAAATATTTGGCCAAGTATGTTACACACAAGGAATTTGTTTCCGGTACAGAACCGAAGCAGCCATCTGCAGCGCCAACTCAACCGATGGCTCTAACCATCGAGGGCAACTTGGGGGTTCAGTGTCTTTGCCCAAGGACACTTCGACATGTGGACTGCAGGCACCGAGATCCGAACCTCCGACCCTCCGGCTGGGAGATGAATTCTCTATCCACTGAACCACAGTCACCCCAAGCCTAAAAAAAAAATCTGCTCTCTCCATTCGGCACACCCTTACCTGTCTGATCTTCTCCAGCTGTTCATCATCTTCCAGGAAGAAGGTCAAGTACATGAAGGAGACATCTACATCTGGGTTACCACCGTACTTCCTGTGCTCCTCAACTGTGTCTTTTCCTCCAGAAAATGCATGTTTGTTGACCTGTGAGTAATGGTTCACAGATCAGATCAGCTGTTCAGTATTCACCGGCAACATAAATCAGACAGGTAGCTGTTGACAACCAGTAACACCACCTTGTTTTTGATCTGCTTGAGTGTGTCAGTAAGGAAGATGGAGGAGTTGGCATCACTGGCGCTCATCTTGGTCTGTGCACCCTGCAGGGCAGGGAAGAAGGTGGAGTGCAGAAGGGCAGGTTTGGGATAGCCGATCCTTGGAGCTACATCACGGGTCATCCTGAAGTAGGGGTCCTGGATGGGTGAGATGACAGATACAAACACATGTCACTGAAAACTACAAATGCCAGTATGTACTATTATTATGTGTTACTGTGATGCAGCCCTAACCTGGTCTATGGCGCAGGGGATGAGACACTGTATGTTCTCTCTGTCTCC